GAATTCGTAATCGTCCCTTTTCTGATCTGTTTTTAATTACAGAAACACTTCTCATAACCTCTATAGCTTATTACTTCCCTGATACACGTCGGAGTCCTTGCAATGTTTCCCTCCTCTTTATTTAGTCGAAATTCAGCGATCCTTCAGTGCCTCATCAGGCTGGCATACCTTTTCTTTTTCAGCCACTCTGGGCTCGAAAGGATGGCATCTGAACACGACACGTCCTCGGAAGTGACCAAAAATGTGTTGCGGGAGCGTAGACATTTCTACACCCAGTCAGAGTTTGACAGGCAGTACTTTCACAGACCGCCGCAGCCCCCCGCGACTTTCCGTGGGAAAATGGACATGGTCGTGCGCAGGACTGGACGCCAATTGCGGCGAGCCTATTGTCTTGAAGTGCCAAGCCATCAGAATTCCGACCTGCCCCTGGTAAGGCAGTCCTCGTCAGAGGCTTCAGAAGAAGAGTCCGAAAGTACTGACTCGGCCGCCAAAAATGCGGCATCCCGACGGAGCTGTTCTCTCGTCTCCTCTTTCTTCCTGAGAATATTCCCTTTCATCAATATCCTACGCGCCTATGACCTGCGTTCGGGCCTGCCCAGTGATATTATTTGTGGCTTTACTGTCGGAATAATGAATATTCCCCAAGGTCAGTAGCTTTTAGGTAGCATTTGGGAAAAAATAAGTGTCTACTGAAACAGTCACATGCTTGCTTAGCTTGCTACTTTGTAACGATGAATTGCCCCACTCTGACTCTTACAGAGCGGCCCTTGTTGGTAACTTGCGTTACTGCAGTTTGCACTCGTTTTGTCTACCGAAAGCCAACTCCCCCAAAGATCAACAGTCGCCGGCGTGTTTGACCGACAAATGATCTACAATATGCACCGAGGTTTGACAACCGCTTATCGTAGTCTGTCATGCAACCAGCTTTTTATGACTGCGTCTATTCTTTGCTTACCTTGCCAACCGTGCCAGGTTTCGCAGGGAGTGACGTTCATTCAGCTATTCCGGTTGCGAGACGAAATATGCATGTTTATGTTTTGCTTTGAATTTACAGTCTAGAGACCACGCCAGCGGTCGTGAAGCATAGAAAAAGAAATCAAAAATGTATGCAAAACCTGCATTCTGACCTGCTTATCATCGTCAGATAGTCAGTCAGTTGGGAAGACTCGGAGGTCTAATTCGACCCTTGGCGCTTGGACTCGCAACAGCAATTGTGCCCAAAGCGTTCATCACAGTCTCCCTTTCCTTTGCCGGTAACACTGTCAGATGTTTGCAATATTGTTTGCTGCGTGTATGGGTAGCTTGCCGTCCAATAGAATCGAATCTGCACACCCTGACATTCCGGAAAAAGGGGACAATGGATTAGTTCACGCAACTGGAAAACACCCTCACCATCACGATTTGTGGAGAGGTCACGTGCGTAAACACGGAAGCAAGGCAGTTTTTGATTTCGCATGAGCTAAGTAGCTATATGTGCACAGAACACTAAGCTTCTGACTCATTTTGCCCGATCTGCAACCAAGACGTGACCTTGCATCGACCAGCGATAGCCGGCACTTTCTTGGTACCTTTGCTTGTGCCTCAGTGGCCCACCCTAGATGGGCATGCCTTCGGAACCTGCCAGAGAGCCTTATGTGGTTATCCATGCATTTGATTCTTTCAAAAAATAAGCTAAACATGGCTCACAAGTGCAGTAGAGAAAGTTCAGTCTCCGGTCGACAGAGAGTCTGCGTTAACTGAAAACAAACTTTTCGCAAAGCCGCCGTGGATAGCGGCATTGCTGACTCATCAACTGGACGATTCTTGTCTGCATTAAGCTGACGCTGTGACATGATTAAGTAAGCCACTCCTTTTCTAGTTGTCTAAGATTGTGCAGTAACCTATGTGCTTGTCTGACAACGAAAGTAATAGCACTTGTCTGCCGGGCAGCAAACAGACCCCGGCCAAACGTGGGAAGTAGGGTAGGTATTAGGAAAAGTTTGTGTTGATGGGTTAGTGAACCTTCGTTTTGGAGAAGCTTCCTGTTTCTCGCTGGAATGTCACTTTTTCTCATCACCATACGCCATTTTGTTTCTACCTGCAGGTATGGCCTACGCAATGTTGGCTACACTGCCCCCAGTATACGGCCTCTACTGTTCTCTGTTCGCGCCCTTCTTCTACTTCTTCCTTGGCACTTCGCGGCATTTGGCCATGGGTGAGTTTCTTTTGCAGTTAGACTACACTAAATGCTGACATTCTGTCATGAAGCCGCCAGCCAATCAAACGTCTGAAAAATATTCCCTTCCATCTACTAGTGCGGGATCTGTGTGCAATAGTAACTGCTGCCCTTTCCGATGGTTCATTAAGAATTTCATCATTCGCTTAAGCTCTTTTCATATTTCATCTCGCAAAATATCATTTAAGTGAGAGAGTTTAAAGTTATTTCAAAGTATTCATATACCCAGTGTTCGCTAGCCGCAAGACAGGTTTGGTGGGAGATCGTATTGAATAGAGAATGTGTAGCATCACTCGGCGTCAGTTATCCAAAAACAAAAATAAACCTAGCATATACTTCGGGTGTACAAGCTGATGTCTTTATACTCGTTCAGGTGCGCAAAAAGAGCACACTTGGATGTGGTTAATGCCGCGACTTGTAAGCCACGGGGGAATTTTGCGCTCCCAAGACTCCTCATTGTTTGTTTCACCCTTGACA